TTAACATGTATCTAATTGACATATTAAAAGTATATAGAAAGAGAATAGAATTAAGGAAGTATTCAAGAAAATACTGAAAATTTTCCAGAATTATTAAACATCTTTCCATGAACCAGAAATCTATGCCTAACCACATCTTAGTGAAACTTTAGAAATTCAAAGACAAAAGACAACATTAAGAACAGACAAAAGAAAACATTATATACAGGTTGAAAGATGTATTACAAACAAAGGAATGAAAGTAAACTGGCAGGTTCTCCTAACAAACCATACTAGGTGCTAAATAACAGTAGGGTGACACACCCTCAATATGCTGAAAGAAAAGTGACTTTTACCCAGAATCACAAATAAATAACTCAATACAAACACTCAGTAGCAAGAAGAAATGAAGAGCAAAGAAAATGGTAAACCTGTGATTAATTCTAGACAAACAGTAGCTACCTTAAAAAAATATTGTTTTAAAAGTTGCTAAACATTATTAAAAATATTCACTATCCACTGCCAGCCTAAAGGAGGAAATGCAAGACTTACAGAAGGATGTTCCTTCAGGAGGAAGCAGCACTAAAAGCAGTCTGAATCCAGATGAGTGTGAAAATATCCCAATAAGCACATTTTGGATATAAAAAATTCATATTTAAATTGAAAATGTGTATTCAAAGATCCTCTTCTCATTCAGGAGGAGATTGAGCTATTTCACTTTAGATTTTGTTTGAATTCATGTCATAAAAGTTCCAAGACAACTACTAAAATAATAAAAAATATATTAAAATAGAAAGTTAACAAAATTGAATGATGAGGAGAAAAGAAAGCCAATCAATTCAAAAGAAGGAAGGTGGGAAGAGGGGGAGGAGGTGTATAGAAGAAAGAGCATAGAAAATTTAGGACATATAGAAGATGTAAAATAAATATTTAGGAAGTAATTCAAGTTTACCAGTGATCAAAATCAACCCAATAAGTTTTTCAGACCAAAGTTTTAAATGACCTGTACACTATCAATATCTAAAACTTTAAAAAGTGGAAAGTTGGAAAGTAAAATAATTTTTAAAGTTCCCAGGGGAATAAACAAGAAAAATACAGGAAAAATAAATTACCTTTTTTGTACAGAAACTGGTGAGGGTAAATTGTTGATCACAGGCATATATTAAACAAATAAACAAAAAACTCATGTAGATATTTAATATATGGGGGAAGGTAAACTTTGAAACTAAAGAAACAGTTACTAAGGATAAAAAGCATTATTTCATGGTCATGTTCATTTCATCACAATATAAAAATTTTCAACTTCTATATTCTCTACTTAATGCACAGCCTCAAAATGATAGAAACTCAAGGAGAATTATTAGGAAAATCAGTGTTCTTATTATCAGAGAATATTAGTGCCTCTCACTCATTGGCAAGCCAGAGAGACAAAAAGATTCTGTATGGATGGAGAGATTTGACAACACACTTGACAAGCCTCATCTAATGAACTTCAAAAGGACACTCCATCTAAAGAGTGCAGGATTTACATCCTTTTTAAGAACACATGGGACAATAATAAAAACATATTACCTGCAAGGCCACAAAACAAGCCTCACAAATTTCAAGTCACTAGATATTATAGAGAGCACATTTTTTATCCACAATACAAACAAGATAAAATCAATACTCAAAGAGATAACCAGGAAAACCAATAATTTTTGCTAAATTAAAACACACTTTTCAGAAGTTCATGTGTCCAAAGGAACTCATGATGAAAATTGGAATATATTTGAAATTAAGGAATGACCCAAACACTATATATCGTAATTTGTGGGATAGCATTAAAGTTGTGACTAAAGTACTTAGCTTTAAACAATTTTATTAAAAAGTAAGAAAGTCTAAAGGATAATAATTTGAGTATCATACTTGAAGAAGTTAAAAAATGAAATAGAATAAACCCCTCAAAAGGCAGAAAAAAGAGAGGAAATTATTAAATTGCAAACAAAGATCGATGAATCCTGAGTGTTTTTTTAAATAATAAAACTTACCATCTGTAACAATTTTTAGGTAACAGAAACATAAAGCAATAGTAAAAAGGGGAACATAACACAGATGAAAAAGAAAATCAAAGAATGTCATAACCAGAATCATACCGTTAAAATTCAAAACATTTTCTAAACCGGCTGACATCAAAAAGAATGGATTTGGAGAATATCATGCTAAGCGAAATAAGCCAATCCCCCAAAAAACCAAAGGCTGAATGTTTTCTCTGAGATGAGGATGCTAATTCACAATAAAGGTGGGGGCTAGGGAAGAAGAGCTTTACTTTAGATTAGGTAGAGGAGAGTAAAGGGAGGGGAGGGGATCTGGGGATAGGAAGGAGAGTAGAATGAAACAGACATTATAGCCTCATGTACATATATGACTGCATGACCAATGTGATTCTACAACATGTACAATCAGAAAAATGAAAAATTTATACCCCATTTATGTAATGACATATCCAAGTGCATAAATGCATTCTACTGTCATGTATAACTAATTAAAACAAATAAAAAATTAACTTAAAAAAGAAAGATATCAATGACTGAAGCCTGACTCAAATCGAAAATGTGTTTCTACTCCTTATAGAAACAGAATTAGTATTTAAATTTTTGTACAATAAAAACACCAGGCCCAGATAATTTCATAAGTAAATTCTCCCAAACACTTAAAGAATAGACAATTTCCACATTACATAAGCTACTTCAGAGGACCAAAAAGCAGCAAGGAGAAAGAGCAGCAGCATTCTCTAACTTGGTTTATGAGGCTCTTACAATACTGACTCCAAAACCAAACAAGGACGGAGACAGGAAAATCACTGGCCAGTTTCCCTCCTGAATATAGATGCAGAAATCTAAAGCAAAAATCCTAGTAAGCTTCATCCAGTAATGTTTTTTTTTAAAGGGTTTTGCATAATAACAAAGTTGGATTTATTCAAAGGACCAAAATGTGGGTCAATGTCAGATAATTCAGTAATGTAACTTGCTGCATTACCAGGTCTAAAAAGAAAAGCAAAATAATCATTGCAGAAAACAGTGGTGGGCAGGGGCTTCCTAGGCCTAGAAAGCAAAAGAGGAAGAGAGAATATGGAAGAGGAAAAAAAGTCCTTTGGGGATGAAGCCAAAGCTAAGATTCATTTTGTTTCTGTAATATTAGAAAACCCACCTGCCTGGTGGACATGTTCTTTGAATACTTGTCATGGGTGAAATGAATAACCAAGTCATTTTCCATAGAGGAATTTAAAGCACCAAAAATAAAGGGTATATGAGATTCATTTTAGTTAAACAGTTTACCAGACTTTTCTCTCCTCAAATCAAAATCTTAGAAATGGCTCAGAGGAATAGATTTTGAAAATCATTTTGCAACCTTCCCATTCTGCTTGCAGCCATGTATCTGAAAACACATTTAAGGTCACTTCAAACAATTTTCAGCACAGTTCACAAAAATGGTCCAAATTGAACCAGAGGACCAGGTGGATATTTAATTTAAAAAGTAAAAAATATGAAATTATAATATTGCAAAATCATTGAACATCATGTATAAACATGATGTAGTTCACCTTTTAAGCCTCAGACCAGAATTTTCTAGGAAGATTTTCTTTCCATGTTTCTATAAAAAATATTTAATATTATTTTAGAAGAATCTAGTTTTATATGTATAGAATCAAGTACTTGCAGCTGGATTTCAGGTAATCACAGAATACCAGTAAAAGGTATTGCTGGACTCGGCTCTTTTTTAAACTTTTTAAGCACCAAGCTGAGTGGTCTAGCACTGAGGCTGACAGAGTCCCTGGAATTGAGCTGATCTTCCAGGTACAACAAACCAGAGTGCGTATGACTGCATATGGGCTTCTTAGGCACACTGGAATTGCATCCATAAACTCTGGAGCTATAAACTGAGTAGAATAGATATTTAATAAACTTCAGGACTTTTACAGGGGCTCTTGTTCTGACGAGTGTTTTCCACTTCACTGTTGTTGAATCTATTTTAAGGACAGTAAAAATTGTCAATGCACTTATGAAATAGGTTTAGAGCTTTCCACCATGTGCTTCGCTCTTTCTACTGATATTTTCTTTATGATCTGAAGGGAAATAAAGAGAAGAATAAAGCAGTGATGTGTTATTTTAAACGTCAAGTCATCCAAGTGGTACATTTAGACTGCGCAATTCTGTTGTATACATTTGGAAACATTTGCCATATTTTTAAGGAAGACACATCTGGCCACACTGCTGGTCTCTGAGGTAGATTTGGCGGATCAAACTAACTAAGGCAGAGCCCCCTGCCTCCATCAGGAATCTCCCACAGCTCTGTATATGGACAGTGGAAACACCTCTCTGTTATGAGAAGGCATATTCTCTATCAAAATCCAACACAGTAACTACTCAATTGTAAAGGAAGAGAAGTATACATTCCAAGACTACAGTAAAGAAAAACCAAATAATAGTCCCATGTGTTGAAAGTCAGAGATCAAGGAAATAATTTGAAGTTTAAAACTAAAGCTTTAATCTGTAAAATACAATATAGATGTCATTAAGGGACTAGAATAAAGATATTTAATACAAAGAATCTGATATTTAGAAAAGGTAGTTAAAAATGCAAATAGTCAGATGCTATCCCACCCACCATCCCATTAACAAGTGATTTGATATATCCAACAAAGATCAAAGACACAGTTTCTGCTCCTCAGAAGAACACTACCAAACAGTTCCAAGTTTTCTGAACACTTGGTTGCCCAGCAATGCAAGGAAACGTGCTAGCCAGGTGTGCACAGAGGTTGTGGGAGTGCAGAGAAGGTGCTGCAGAATGCTGTGTGGGGAGTCAGGGGGTGTTTCACAGAAGAGAACATGAAAGCTGGATCACTAAGGATGAGGAAAAGACAGTGAGTAGTGAAGTAGACGCTATGGTGCATGGAATAAATAAACCAATATCCCTCAGGCATGGTTCCCAAATATGGTGACTGGATTCATAAAGCACCTGCTTTCTCTTGTCTCCTTCAGTGTTTACGTATCCAGAAAATGGCACTGACGATTTCAAAGACCAAGCAAAGAACATAAACCACCAGGTATTTATGGAAGGCACAGAAGACAGATCAGACAAGAGCACTTAGATCAAACTGCAGGTCACCACCCAAGTGGGTCATGAAATCCACTTAGTGGGTCCCAGGATAGCATTTTTAAAGTATAAAATAGCACAATGTAGCATAATGTGCCATGGGATAGTAGTATGGATTAAATAGAAATATCACAGTGAATAAGAGGGAAACAGGATAAGTGTTGTGTTGTATCTTTTGTTTCTGTCATATATGTTATGTATGTTGACATATAGTACATGATGTGTAAATTATAGAACTATGACTATACTTCATAGTATATAAACAATTATTATATTTTATACGCTTATTCATATGTATGTATATAATTATAATAAAGTAGGATAATGTGATATAAGAAAACTGAGCTTTAAATAGCAAACCAAATCATAGGTAAAAAGGGAACATATAGTTGTGTGAAATTTTCATGTTATTATATAATATATAGTATATATTTATTATTTATGTTCAAATGTAGTATGTAATTATACACCACAATATATGACTTTAACTTGTCTTTATAAAATATAAATGTCTCTATAGCATTAAAATTTGGTTAGTAATAATAGCTAATATGTATGTGACACATAGAAGTCTCGTATACTCTCTAAATTGCAGACTATAAGAAAATCTACCTAACAATTCTGTGAAGGTCAGTTGTGCTAACTGCCTAACGATTCTGTGAAGGTCAGTTGTGCTAATGCATATCCCATTATGCCTGGCACATAGTAAACTATCAAAATGATACTTTTATTAGGATTATTGCAAGATTTCATAACCAGTAGAGGGTGGTACCTGATATAAACTGATGCCAAAATCTATGCTTTTTCCTCAAAATCAATGAGCTAATTACCAGATGAATAAACCTGGTTCCCTTTGATACACTAAACAGTAGCTCTCAACTAACTGATAGAATGTCTGTTTTAGCAAGTGAGAGTTGTTAGTTACTGCTCACAGGTCCCTCTTTCTTTAGAGAGAATATTTCCTCCCATTCCTGAGACCACCCCTGGGACATTTTTCATGAACAACTGTATCAAAGAAGACAATCATACAACTGTATCAAGGAAAAGTGTAGTATTTCTGACAATGAGTTCCAAATAATTGTTTTCAAACTTTTTTTATAAAATCTTCCTCCGTTAAACAGAATTAAAAATAAACCTAAGGCTGAGAGAAAGTCATTAATAATGGCTCCCTGTTTTAACACCTAAGATCCGTACAGTGATATTACTGTGTAATAATGCCTCTATGTCCTGTTTTCTTTCTCTCCTCTCTCCAATTCTTCCTCCTTCCTTCTCTTGCTCTTCTTTCTTTTCTCTTTCAGGGACCTCTTTCCAAAGACCCATTACAGATGAACACCTACGTTGCCTTGTACAAATTTGTACCACAAGAAAATGAAGACTTGGAAATGAGGTAAAAACATTTTTTGAGAAGAGAAGTATTTAAAGTTCATGTTTTAATGTTTTTCCCTGTGAAAAATATAATCGCTTTGGTGCAGTAATTCTTTTATTTATTTATTTATTTATTTTGGTACCAGGGATTGAACTCAGGGGTGCTTAACCATTGAGCCACATCCCCAGTCCTATTGTGTTTTAATTTAGAGACAGGGTTTCACTGAGTTGCTTAGCAACTCACATTTGCTGAGGCTGGCTTTGAACCCACGATCTTCCTAACTCAGCTTCCTGAGCTGCTGGGATTACAGGCTTGCACCACTGCACCCAGCAGTGATTCTTAAATGTTAGCATGCATCCAGTGATCTGCAGGGCTATAACACATAGATGCTGGGTCCCATTCCCAGAAGTTCTGACTCAGCAGGCCTTAGGTGGAGCTGGAGAATTTGCATTTCTAACTAGTCTGCATGGTGCTGCCAGTCCAGGGACCATACTTTGAGAAGCATTGTTTTCTTATATGTTCAACAGAAACACTAATGAGAGTTTTAAGGATAGTTAAGCATTAAAAGCATTGGACATCCACTGGAGTCTAATAGTGAATCAAAACAAATGCATTTAATCCACAAATTAATTGGTGAGAGAATCAAATTGAAAGTTATTAGTCAATTGGGACCCATACGCTTCATGATCACTGCCACACTTGGGAAGGTAAGGTGACTACTGTGACCTTGACAAACACTGAACCTTTCTCCCCACCAAACCTTGAGGTTCCTGGTATTTCAGAGGTGGTCTATCTAGAGTCAGTGTGGGGCTCACATCCTACTTATTACTTGACCTTAAGCAATTTATAAAGATTTTATTACTCTGATTTCTTTATTTATAAAAGATTAATAATGGCCTCAACCTCTTAAGGGAGTTGTGAGGCTGAAGTCATAAAAGCACATACCACATTGCCTAATCATCATAAACACCCAGTGGTTATTGCAATTTTTATAATGGGGCCTTTTCATTGGCCTATCTCAAGGAAAAGGCATCGTTCTTTCCTTCATTCATGACACTAAACCATGAGTCATCTCAGGAGAAGGCTTCTGTGTTCTCATACATGAGAGCAGGATAGAAGAGGCTGCTTTTCTAGTCAAGTGAGGCCCTGGAGATTCAAATCTTCCCTCTTCTCAAAAAAGGGGAAAAAAATTTTTAAAAAAGAAAGATCAATTAGTACTTAAAAACTACCCAATTGCCAGAGCAATGGGGAACACTTTCATTTTGGGGCGGACTCTGCTTGTCCAAATACCATGCAAGCCAGGTTAACACTCACCCATCACTCTCTTTAGATGGCCACAGAAATCCTGGCCTCTCCCCTGAGCTAGCTGACATTCCACCCCTTCAAGCCCGTGTCATATGGTCCCCTGCCCATCTCCCATTTTTTCCAAAGCCCCTGTAAAATTAGAAGAGAGTCACTGAAGGACACCAATTAGACCCTATTTTCTAGGTCCCCTATGCCATCAAGGCTCTGCAGCTCAGCTGCCCTCATGGTGGGTACAGCAACCGGTGAGACTCAGTAGCTGATTGATATATCCTGCCTCAGTCCGGCAACTTCCCCTGGCTCGCACCTGCCTCAGTTATAGTTTGAAGTCAGCTTCCAAGTGGTTCTCCAGCCTTTCCAGAACAGAGTACAGTACTGACTCCTTAGTTCTGTTCAGACTATTAAGTTCTTATGTATCTGCATTTCCTCCATCATTGGGTAAAATTCCCATGTTGCTCCATGGCTGGAGTTGTAAACACTACCCCACCAGTTCTGACATCATCAGGGCAGGAGGAAGGGATGGCATGTATCAAGTGCACCCTATTCATCAGGCATATGACAAGACCATGAGTTGGAGCGGAGCGTCCTAGGATTCTACTGAGATGGTGCTTTGCTACGCCAATGGTCCACCACTTACTACCTGCAGATGGACACAAGAGTGACATATATTTGCTTTGTAATAAGTAGAGCATATTGAGTGCTCCTCAAGATTCTCATTTGGGTGTCTAAAATTTAACAACTCTCTGTTGTACCGGTCCCACTGTTTTATAATAGAAGATTATTCTGAAGTCATCAGATTTAAAAAAGCAATTCCAGAAAAATACAGAAAGTTACTGGGGATACCGAGGAATGTCTGGCTTCCTAGTGGTGGTCATAACTTTGTGTGCTTATTTTAGTTGGTTGCAGGCCATTAAAAGTCAAGTTGTCTGGTCACGACTCAAACGTTTACAGACTGCTTCGAGGCAAACAGGACTATTCATTCCCAGGAGTGAAATGTCTACATTGCATGCACTGCAAGATTGGAGGGATAAATCACACTTTTTTTTTTTCCTTGAGATTACAGGTTCCCATTTTAAAAGCCAGGAACTTGATTTAGAATGTGTAAGGCAATGCTTTGGGGATTTGGTATAATTCCTTGAATGAACTGGGGCTTTGTGAATTATCTTTTTCCTCCTCAAACCATATGGGGGGAAAATCCTTTCAATAAAATACCAGTCTTATCCACCTGCATTCTGATCTGGGGGAGCATGCTGGATCTGGTTCTCAGGAAAAAAAAAAAAAGGGCGATGAGAGTACAGGAAATGATAGAGTCTGAACTAGAGGGCAAAGAAGACCTAGATGGCAAAGCCAACCAGCATAAATCCCTCATTATAAATTTTCCCAATAATAAGGGAAGTTCTTTCTACCAAAGGCCAAGGGTCCAGACCTCTCCACAGACCTCTAGACTCACCTGCCCAGCAATGGATAGAACAGAGCAGCTATACCCTCCCTCCTGCAAACCTGTTCCCGAGGGCAAATGATGTCACCATGTGCCCAGGTCACAATCCAGTCAGGAAGGCATCTCTATACCTCATGTTCCCAATGTATTTGATGTGCCATTTCTACTTGACCCCTGCCTAAAATGTACAGTATCCATCCCCACCTTCACCTCTCACCTGGATTACTGTAGAAGATTCTAGCTGGTCTCTGTTTCCAGTCTTGCCTTCTCCCAACCACCCACCATGCCTTTGGGGTGGAAAGTACTCTTAGGCAATAGTATGCAGTTTAAAGTTTCATCTAAACTTTGAACAGAGTGGATTCAGACTACTACCCCTCCTCTTTCAAACAATAGGGCATATGATATGACTTTCTGAACCTTTACAGGATAGGGGTGATTCAGATAACAAACTCTGTCTTTTAATTAACATTAAAAATGTTAATTCCAACCAGTTCTGTTTAATTCTCCAAAAAAGTAGATGCTTTCTTTTCAGAATTAAGAACTTGGGGCAGTAGGGGCAGAGAATATGGCAGCATGGGTTCATTGAATGTTTGAAGATAGAAAGAGTTGGCATCACTTGGCCTGGGTTGAAGTCCTAGTCAAGCCACCTGCTCAGCTGTGTAGTCACCCATGAGACCTGGAAAAGTTACACAAGTCATTTGAGCCTCTGCTTCCTGACCTGTAAAAAGGAGGTAACAAGGGCTACTGAGGACACTCATGTATTTGTTCCAAACTCTCCGAAGTCCTCCCATTGCCTCTGCATAAAAACAGAATATTACAGGACTTCCAGACCTCCAGTCTCATCCCTGGTGACCTCTCAGTCTCATTCACTCTCTCCTTTTCTTTTTTCCCTTCCTCAAAAGGAGAACACTACCACCTGCCAAGGAACTTTTCTTCCTCAGTCTTCTACCTTCCTGCATCTTTGTATCTACCCACCATCTCCTCCATCAAACACACACCTACACACTGTGCCCCTTGACTATTATCCATCCGCTAGATCACAGCTCAGAGTTCACCTCGTTGGTACATCCCTTCCTGATACACTCAAACCGAATTAGTTTCCTCTATAACCTACTTTTATGACACTACTTTTTTTTTCATTCAAAGCACTTATCTCCCACTTGTATTTCTATATTTCTGAAATTATTTGGGTAATCTCTATCTCTCCTGTAAACTCCATGAGAACAATTCTGTAATTACTAACCCTTAAAAAACATGGAGCATGGTTTGTTCTTGAAACCTAGCTGATAGTAAATATTTGATGAGTGAATAAGCATTACGGAAGTGATCAGAACTCATGCTGGACAATTAGCAGGCAAATAGAATCCATGGTAATATAATGGACCATTAATGGAGATGCAAAGCAAGCTAGAAAGAAGCATTAGCCAGGATCTGTTTCCTGGAGGAGACAGTCTTTAAGCCCAGTGAATATTATGAGTCAAGAAGAAATTGTGGAAGGGGAGACCCAAAGGACCCCTGGCCCATCAATAAATATCAAAGGGTTGAAGGCAATCAGGAAGATGTCCTGCTGAGCCTTCACTGAAGCACTCAGAGTTGGGGTGGGAGAGGTAGAGCCAGTTGCTACTCCCCAATTCTTAGGGCAGTGAATGCTCCTCTTTAAAGTGCTGAGGTCCATACTTAATCTCCAAGTGCTATACACAAGAGAGGCTTCCCACCGTCTGCTTTTTTATAGTTTCAGTGCCAAATAAAAGTCATAAATTTATTTACTGTTGGGGCACCATTACCCACCCCAATCTTTGGAGCTGATCATGGTGATTTACTCTTTCCACCATCACAGGCTAGAGTAGGAGATAGCAAGGTGGTGGGGCAGGAAAAGGCAATGTCTGGGAGTCAAATAGGCTGGCTCTGGTTTCCAGTTCTGATACTTAGTATTTGCATTAATTTGAGCCAATCTTAATCTCTCAGAGCCCTGTGTTCTCCTTCCTAGGAGACTGAGTGTTAAACAAGATCATATAAATAAAATGTGGGATTTCATGCCCAGGATGAAATGAGATGCACAGTATATTTTAGATAACTTCTCTTCATAATTTTCATGTTTTCAGTATATCTTTATTTCACAGTCTTTTAAATAAACTCATTTACACTTCCCTAAAGACTTGGCAGAGGAAACAGTGAAACACCCTCTCTGGGCTTCCAGCACAGCCAGGGAGTCTTTATCTAATTGGTCCAGCAATAAGGAAGCTGTGTGATTCCTGATGCTATCCTGAGTAGGTCTTGCAGT